CATTCAGAGGCTTTATTTTGTGTTCATAAGGGAGAAAGTTTTAAAATATGCTACTGTAACACAGTCAATACCAGAAAATTAATTTTAGAGCAACATCCATTTCTCAATTCCTTTCTGACATTATTAAAGCAAAAATCACAGTTAAAGCAATCAATGAAATGCCACCTCCCTTCAAGCTTGTCTGCTACTATAGTTTTTCCTTCCCTCACAGCTGTGTGATTCATGCCCTAGATCCTTTTCATCTATGAAGGAAAGTCAGTTTATCATTATCCTGAAAGAAAAGTTTGAGGAGTGATTTTTATCTCAGAACATCAACTAGCAATTTTAGAACAGGTAAAATAACAGTTTTCCACAGATTGAAAAAGGTAACTCACTAATAACAGTGACAGACATGTAGTCCCATATTTTCAGATCCTGAAGACAATTTTTCAAATTCAATAAAAATTGCCCCTTTCATTTTTATGATACAATAAATTAAGATAATCTAATTTAATTTCTTCACAGCTTGTTTTATTTACATTTTATTTATAACTATATTTAAAACAATTTTGTAAGCATCTCAAACCATAATTTTTTTCTAGAAATGAAAACATGGTTGTTTCCAACAGTTTCAAATTTCAAAACTTTAGAACATATTGAAAACAAGAAAAGAACAAGTATTAATTTAAACAAGTAATTTAAGGGTAATGAGTTTAGCTGCATACCATTCACCCAGCAATCCCAGACAATTAAATTACCACAGCTATAAAATACATAACATTAGAGAACATGGAAGATGTGTATTAGTGCATATTTAAGAAGCAACTGTCTTTTAAGTTTTGAATTTTACCTGCCTGAAAAATAATGATCTAAGCATGAAAAGTTGTACCAGTTAGCTATTTGTCTTACAGCAGGGGGCGGGGGGGAAAGTTTGTTCCTTGCACAGATTCCTCCATTATGCATATTTTCTAACATTTTTAGAAGTGAAGTGTCCTTTACAGCAGGATGGGATGGTGAAGACTTCCAGATTTTTTGCATTACTAACACTACCACTGCCCTGGAAAATGTAGGTCTCTTCCATCAGTTACACTGCTGCTTAAGTGAGAAAACAAATTTGTACCTGAAACAAAAAAGACGTTTAACTTTATTTCTAATTCAGATACAGTTTTTCAGTCTGTAGTGACAGAATGTAACTTGAACACAACAGTAATGAAACCAAGTCCTGGCACATACCCAGTAATCCCAAGCACTGTGTTATTACAAATAAATGCTTTCATCTATGACAATAACTTTCATAACAAGTCTGTGTTTTCCCAATTACTTGCTCTCTAGATGAGTCACCCTTCCCTGAAGACAACATCTTTTTCCCTACTTTTTTCTTTTAGTTCTATAGCATGTGAAACTGTTAACTTCAAAGCACAACACAGACAGTTCAAATACTGACATTATTACATTGGGAAGCGTAATATTGCCTATGTCTAATTAATGCCTGTACAACACTTTGAAGATGTAAAAGTTTATGATTACTGACTAGTAACAGTACTGAACTAACAACAAAACTGGACTAATTCCTACTGAAATGAGTGTGGAAATCATTGCAAGTTACACTGTGCAATACTACTACATTAATTATCCTAGGTGGCTAAGGGGGAAGAGGAGAAATCAGTGGCTTTCTTTGAAACAAGAAAAAATAAATAATCTCTGAAGTATTACAAAAGTTAACCACACGAACATACAGCATTAATTTTGACATAGTTTATATGTGTTATTAATCCTCACCCCAGATATGCAAAGTATAGTAGATATTCACACTAAAGAAAAAAGCAAATTGGTTGTAGCAAGTACTGCCAATTCTTACTTGAACATTTGGTTCCAGCTGTGGGACAGACATCTTCATGTTGTATTCCTGTAGTTAACATGACCATAAACCACTGCCATGAAGAGTTAAAATCAAGTGTCCCTTCCACAAGATGTGCTGGAGCATCATCTCCTATGTATTTCTACCCTAGGTCATTAACATTTATGCTAAGACTCATCCATACAGCAAAACTCACTGGATTTACAAATGACTGATGTATGGAATCTGGAGTATCCAATTGGATTCACTGTCTTATCATTTTGATGCAAAACCTCCAGTTCCCAAGTATTGGCTCAGCTGCGTCATAGCACAGTATCACTGAAAAGAACATCCTCCACCTCGAGCATTCACTGTATCTGTTTCTTTCCAGGAATACACAGCACTAGCATACTTGTTGCCCCACGTACCCAAGAACTGGAATAACTGCTTCCAATGCAATTATTAAATTCTCAAAATTACTCCTTTCAGGAGGTATGTTTGCATAGAACTAAAAAGAAAAACACTCAACCAGGAAAAAAATACTCAAATTAAACATAAGCACATTTTGAAAAGGGATGTATCATTCCTGGTTGCCAGCAAACTTTACCTGCTCAGCACTAAGCCTCACTGACACTCCTCACCCGCGTTATGCCTGGCACACTCTCGTCACAGATGGCACATTCATTGGGTAGACTTTCAGCAAGTCCAATGGATCAAAGAGTCTGTCTAATTTATCTGCAAGCAAAATCCATCTTAACACTGATCAGTGTTCCACTGACGTGCTCCCACTGTGTAAAATGCAAAGTACAAACTTTCCATCTTAGACACATTAACAGTATAACACCAAAAGTAAATTTAACCAGAGCACTCTTAACCTTTCGTATTACACCCCTTCCACATTGTTTTGTGCATAGTTTATACAAAATTGCAATCCAACACTGGGAGACTAAAATGAGGTGCACATTTCAGAGTTGGAGTTTTACTGTTCCACAAAAATCATTTAGTCACTTTAAGCTCTTAACTTGGCACTGTTTAAAAATTATTAAAAGATCAACGCAGGCGTTATTACAGAGTCGTCCTTATTGGAAACACTTCTACAAAACCTGAAGAGCACCATTTATAATTGTGGCTTTCAGAAACTTTTTCCATTCTTGCAGAAATTTCCAGCATTTCAGTAACAAATTCAATTAGTCACATTTAAGTAATGAAATTCAAATACCATTTTAAATATTTGATGTTTGGAATCCTTAAGACACTTCATTTTAAAGTACCTCAGTCCAGTAAATACAACTGTATTCATTATCTGCCACGCCAAGCAGACATGCATTATTAAAGTAACAGAAAAGAAAGATTTTGCAAGACAGTCACTCAGTGAGAAAGCACTCTGAAACAAGACTGTCAGAATAATTACAGAAAACCCACAGATAATCTCATCAACTCAATATTTAAGAAACACATTCTTATACACATTTCTTTTGAGACAAAGTAATAATACATTCTCTAATCAAACTTTACACAATGTTTATCTGGTGTACCAAAGAATCAGTGAAATCAGAAATCCCTTGTCTACTGAACAGCTAGAACATGGAAGCACACTAGGAAAGAAATAGCAATTTCTTAGCTTGTCAAAAGATCAGTGAAGATTCTCCCCCTGCAACTGCCAGAGTTTACTTTGCATACTTGAGGCAGAATAGCTGAATAAGTGAAGTAGTCTCTAAGCAGGACTACCCATGTGAAATGAATTCATCAGGAGACTAACATATTATTTCCCCAGCCTCTGCCTTTCACTTTGTTAAACTGAAGTATTTCAGTAGGTTATACCAAATCTACAGAGGTTTTGTTCAACTTTTCAAGTTAAGAAGGTCAGATTATAAAAATCTGTATACACAAAATGCAATTCCCAGGAGGAAAGAGAGGAGATCAAGCTCAGAAATATTGTTTGCAAGTTTTAATAACCCCAGCGAACAGCAATGCCATCCAACAGCACCCAGGTTGCAAAGACTTTGGTCACAAAGCTTGGTGTTCAGTGGGTCAAAATAACAGCAGAGTTTAAGTAGTCTTTTTTCTTTATAAATGCAATGAAGAAGACAGACTGTTCATTAAATATAAAAGCAATTTTATAAAAACACATCAGAATTTTATTGCTTGAAGAATACAGCATATGAAAAAGCACAAGAATGTCCAAAAGAAAGGTCACAAGGATCCAAACATACTACACCATACATACCAGATGCAGTAAAATGTTAACCTGAATTCTGCATCAGAAAATAAAGGTGTGAAAATATACCTAATATTGTTTAAAACAAAAAGACTCATTTAAAATAGAAAGTGTGATGGTGTTACAGTACAAATTAGAAAAGCCAACACTGCACATTAACATTGTATCACTAGACTAGAATTTCTACCTTTGGTACTTAAACCTTTACAGAAAACCACTTCCTCAGACAAACTTTGCCTACCATATTTAATATAGAATCCATGAAAGGGTTTTTGTTTCGTTTTTCTTTTTTAATCTTATCCACATATTCTTCCGAGTTTTCACTGCATTGATGCATTTAAGGAAGTGTTCACATTTGTTCAATATGCAACCTAATGGATCTCAAATTCAAATCAGAAGTCACTATGGGACTGTGATCGGAATATATGAAAATGTACCTTATTCAAATCTCTATGTAAAAATGGGAACACCATTTTCTGCTTGCATCATTACTTTAACAGTTAAGACTGCTGCAGCCCTCCTCAAGAATTCTAACTAGAGCAACTTGCTGAGGATGTAATTTAATAAAACAATCCACATGGTTAGAGAGCTATGGGATCATCTACAGCAGCATGTAAGTGGCTTTTCTAGTCTGCTCAGATCAGTGTACCAGAAGATATGCCAGTATTACTTCAAGTAACACATTAAAACTCAGCAATGGAAACTACTGTGCTTTATTTCAACACAAAGAACAGCTGCTCATCCATTAATCAACAGAATTTTCAAATAAACTATCAAAAGGACTACTACATCATTTCTGTTCCATGTATTGCTGATCACTCCTTGGGAACAGTTCATCAAACAACTCTCCTACGAACCAATCTAAATGAAGAAAATGTTATCTTTCAACAAGGTATCTTAGTAATCCAGTGGCACTCTAGTCTGGAGAATGTTAGCATTATGCTGACAACGATGACTAAACAAGGTTAAATAAATTCCCTCTTTTATGGTAAACATGCTCTTAGCTTCAGCTTTTGCATTCTTATAGGCTTGAATACTTAATCATTCCCAGTTACATCAGTGGAACTAAAACAATGCTGTTTCATCAAGTTCCAGCTTTATATTTCAACAATATGAATAGATCTGGACTATAAAATACCATCAACAACAGTTAACATTACACTGGAGTGAAATAATAGAAGAGTTGGGTCTTCAAACCAGGCAGTCTTTTGAAGGGAAATACTCAGTAAGGACTGTCAAAGGATGCAATAATAAAACCATAGGTTTATTTTTTTTCACCCCTATACAAAAACATGACTGAATTTGTACAACTCCATTAAACATAGCTTTTCCTGGGTGAAAAACGTATAATTTTCAAATTTTAGCAAGTGTGGATTTTGAGTGTATATAATATTTATTGCCATATACATCCTCATTTTAAAAAGAACTAAGAATTCAGACTCTAGTATGCTGAACTCTGTTTTTTTCCCATTAACTGATTATGTCTAGTGTATCAGTCGCCCAAAAAACAATTAAAAATTCTAAGTAAGATTTTATAGTTTAGTTAAAAGGGAAGAAATGCAAATGTGGATTCAGAGCTTTTTGTATAAATCTCACTATATTTTATAAACTTGTTGTTTATTGTAACACTGTTTATTGATCAAATAAATGACGCACTATCTAAAATTTCCATATACACCATTAAAAATCCAAAGTTGATATGATACTGAACCTTAAATCTTCAAGAGTTCAAAAAAGACAGTTTATACATGTACAGCACACAACAGCAGACACCCCTAGAATACCAATTGCCAGTCCATGATGCATACAAACTTACAGGTAAGCATTCATTTCACTGTTTTCATTGTGCAGGAAAAATATTTCGTAAAGACAAACTCAGCTGGTGAATTTCAGATATCATCTTCATCATCTTCATCCTGAGAGGATCCTGCCTGATTGGATGCACTGGCTGAGGCAGCAGCAAGTTGTGCCTGTTGAGCTGCTTGCTGCAT